TCCAACACATCTGATTTTGAAACAATTATGAAAAATATGCCTGAATTTGGCAGTTCCAATGTGTTTACCAATTTTATTGTAGAGGTTTTGCTCAGCAACAACAAATATTTGAACTCAAAATTGGAAATATCAGACGACATATCATCTGAACAATTAGAATTGGAGGGTGATAAAGCACACTGTATTGAAGATAACCATTTAGATCAAAACTGTTTTCTATACAAATTGTTACAGCTGCAAAAGCTATCAGAAAAATTTAGTTTCAACATCAAAGATTCTGATGAAAAAGGACTGGAGTATGTTGAGCCTCTACTAAACAAATTAACAACTGAAAATATAGATTTGAAAAGAGTGTATGACAGAGAGAAGTTTATATCAACAGCTGACCCAAAAACCTTAGCTCTAATATCAGCCATAGCAAAAGATTGCTCAATAATGATTAGCTTTTCAACTTCTTTTGAAGAAGGGTTACAAACCATACAAATTGGAGAACACAAACTTCCATACAAACTATCTGTAACAGATCTAGAACCTAAAGCAGCAAAGACTTTAGCAAAGAGATTGAAAACTGAGAAACAGTTGATTGAGATCTATGAAGCATACCTCAACAGTACCCAAAGTTAATTTAGTGTAAGTATCTTGAGAGTGAAGTTAATGAATGTGTGTCATTTTTATAATGTATTTATTTTGTACCAAGTGTCTGTGTAAAGTTTGCAAGGGGTGAATAGAATTGTAGATTTAATAACACAAATTTTCACTGTCTTGAAAATGAAACTATTTCTCTCTTGTTACAGAATCCAACCTCACACAGAAACAAGAACAAAACAGTTAGAGGCATGGGAACAACTTATATCAGATTATTTAAAAGCCAATAAACAGTCAACTATAGACATTAGAGAAGCCCAAAACACACCACTATTCAACAACACATCAATAGAAAGAAAGTTATCACAAGAATCTATATTAACTATACTAGAAGACATGGCTAGAAAAGGGAGGGCAGCTCCCGTAGATAAAAGTAAAAATGTATGGGAGATTTACTGGCATTCCCTAGATGAGTGGGGTAATATGGTGTACAGTTGGGCATGTAATAATGGAATGAATAACTCTGTCTGCACAATATTTGAGTTGAGAGAAGGTGATAACACTGTTGATGAAGGTATGATCATTTTATTTGAATAGTTGTGCTTTATCAGTTGGGTTAGTATTTTATCAAAGGTTCTACACTTGTTTGAGTACGGGATTAAATTCTTAAAACATTGAGTGATAGATTAGTTATGATATGACTCATATCCATCTTCTTAGACAGATACTTATATAAAATCCCAGAATATAGTAGTGAGATCTTCAAATACTTACCATAAGAAGCATTTTACGACATTCTGCATGCACCCATCTAAGATCCCTTTTACTCACAATCATCTGTTTAGATTGAAAAAGTACATTAACCAAACACATACCAAATACATATTGTACATACTTCTCATCTATTTTTCCAGAATTCCATGGCCTCGACATGGCGGTACTCATCAAAGCCCTGAAAGCTCTGGAGACAAAAGGCAAATGTGAACTGATTGAGTTTGACGACAACCAGGGAGTGAAGTTCTTCTAGTAACAGTGGAATGATTGCAGCCTTACTCTAGTGTGGAAGACTGTTGCTGTCCTGCTCTGTTTCCTATAAGGGTAGGTTGACGTTGCTTTGTTTAAAAAGTTACTTGATTCATGAACACATTGATATTAATGTTGCCATCGACCTAAGCATATGCTACCTTTCTTAGATCTTGTATTATTCATAGCTTGTTTTATAAATATCCTTTCACTTAGAAAAGACACTGGTTCAGTTACCAATTTTAGCTAATATACCTACTTTAACTCAATTTTGTCAATTATGATCGATCTGAAATTTGAAATGCTCCAACTTAGTACAGAGTATTGATGTTTTTAAAGTGACTCATGTTTTACTAATTTTAATTGCAGGTAGTAAAAAAGTTTCGTAGGTTTCTAAAGAATAAATTGGCGTCAACCTATCCTATCGCTAATCAATTTTATTCTAAGTACATTATTTTCGATATAAAATGTTGAATGCATTTTGTTAAGTTATACGTATTTTTAATGTTGGAATATATTGCGTAATATTTTTAAACTGACTTTTTATTCTCACGACCATAGTCACCTTTAAATACTTCGACAGGAAGGATAGGTAAGGTACACTCATAGTAAAAAGTGAAACAACAAAAATACTTTATTGGAAATATTTAATTTCATTCAATATGAATACGTGTAAAACTTTACAATTTCAAAATTGATTGTACAAATTTCATTAGAAAACATACAAAAACGTTTTCCAAAAAACTGTTTTATTGAGCGTTTGCGTTTGTGCTTCAGATGCATTTCTGTTATGATTATGACTATAATACTTATGTTTACTTACTTAGCTAGTTATTATCGATATTGATTCACAAGTAACTATCCACAAAATCGAAGACTTAAATTGAAATCATTGAGATATCCAGAATATAAGAATTGATAATGCATGGAATGTTCAATAAAAATCATGGTAAAAACAGTACCTACAAACATGTAAATAAATAAAAATATATTCATCAAAACACTCATTTTCAAAAATCAAGTAAATACATAAATATGTATAAATGAAAAGAATTTGTATTAAAACGGATTTTCCTTATTTCTCTTAAACAATCAGTCTTCAACCAAATACACTTAAACTATGATGCAAATTCAACAAATAAGTTAAACATTCTGTACACAACTGTACCTTAACTAACGTGATGCAATAGTCAAACGTTAAAAACCTTAAATTACTATCAAAATGTGTCTTAACTTGTACTTTTATATTACTATACAAAATGTTTGGGCAAATGCTCTAATGGGGAGGAAAACTCCAAGCTGATTGTAACTAGGTGGCAGCAGGAGCGACTGAGTCTAAACGGATCAATAAGAAGTAACTGAATAACAAACTTTAGGTATACAATTTTTGCAGGATTTGAACCTGCGATCTTTACCATCTGTACTACCGTTAGTGGCCAAGATATACTTGCTTAATTCGCAGATTAGGATAGAACCGCGGTAGTCCAGTTCGCAGTGGCGTCGGCTGTACAGCCTACAGCGTAGCCTCGCGTAGCCTACAGATGCTGAAGGTCGCAGGTTCAAATCCTGCGGTGGAAAATTTTGCAAAATTCCCAAAATTTAACTAACACCATCAAGTGTGGCGCCTTTCGGTCCCCAGTTTGTTACCTCATTAGGAGGTACTCATATTCCGTCTATTTTTAGTCACTTACATCAACACTTTTTTGTAGTAGAGTTTTGCGATTTATTTTTTCGCCAAAAACATAGCATTCATTCTTAGATTATAAAGAACTATTAGGCATAAATGTGTGTTGTGCAGTTCCTTAATTAATATATAAAAACTACAACATCACAGATATTTTACAACAAAACTCCAATATTAGGTAATTAGGGTATGTGCATACTCTACCCTTAGGTGCATGCATTTGATCCATTTATTGCAATTAATACTGTTCCTCTTCCTGAATAGTGCTTATTGGCATTCTATCCCCCTTTCCACTAAAACTTTCGGTCCTGGATCACATATTCCTACGTTTTAGTTTTATGCGTTTACCAAAACGAATCCTCAAAATAGCGGGGATGTTAGCGCCACTAAAGACTACTTTGCATATCGAGTTAGAAAGTTGGAAATTGGCATGAAGGTACTTTTATAAAACTGGCACCTCCCGATTGGCACCACCCCTCTTCACCGTTCACTGCCTTCTGATCAGTATGTCAAAAAGTACCTTCATGCTGATTTTCAGCTTTATAGCTGGATGTGCAAAGTTGAGGATGCTAATTTCTTCGCGGTTGTGCTTATTGGCACTTTATTCCTTTTTCGATTCAAACTTTCTGTCCTAAAATAGTAGTTTCAATCACCAAAACCAATCCTCAAAAGACTTCATAACTAAAGCATTCTTTCACCCTCTACAAATGGTCACTAGCTTCCAACGCAGCATTGCAGTACCCATTGGCCCCAGTCCCATTACAGTTCCCATTTCCGTTGGTCTTCTCGCTGCAGACGACCAGGTCCACTGATGGAACCACAGCGTTGGGGTTCTTGCCACCAGGGGGTCGGTAGAACCACCACGCCAGGAAGAAGAATAGGACGGAACATAGCTTGCCGACTAGCGCTAGGGCTAGCATGTACCTGGAAGGGAAAAGTATGGTCCATTAATAGAACTGTATAAAAAGCAATCTACTTGTACGTCAGCGGAAAAGTTAACATCTGCAAATAACTATTTACAGATTTAAACGTCGACTGTAAATGACAACTTAATTTTCAGTATCTGCAATGAGAAAAGTAGGTATTACGCTGTGTAATGGAGGAATCAGGCTAGGTGCTGACCTTTTCCCAATAGAACAGGCAATCTCAAGGCAATGGAAAACCGAAGACCACAAGCGTACAGAATAAGCCAATCAGGAACCCGTAGATAAATGGCGCCAGGATGGCAGGATGGTGGTGACTTTGTTGTTTTTGATGTCTAAAATATAAATAACATACCTGCTCATATTTATGTTGTCATAGAGCAAGCAAGCGCCAGTACTATTGTCACAAGACTTTTCCCACAGTGTACATGACAAGTCAATCAGGAACCAGAAGATATGCCGCCTTAGGATGTTGCCCAACAAAACGGACTTTGATCTTTGTGTCTATGATGTCTAATATCATACCTGCTCATATTAATGTTGTCATAGAGCAAGCAAGCGCCAGTACTATTGTCACAAGATTTCTCCCACAGTGTACATGACAAGTCAATCAGGAACCCGAAGATAAGTGGTGCTGGGATGGTGCCCAGCAGACGGACTTTGATCCACTGGATGCCTAGTGCGAAGGAACGCTGGTCTTCTCGGACGCATCTGGGAAAAAGGACAAAGGTCGTTATAAGTTTTTGATACATTCAAAGAACTTTTAACTCAAAAATTTGACAGTCGATGTGGCGCAATGGTAGTGTGACTGCCTGCAACGCAGAAAGATCCGGGTTGGATTCCCGGTGGGTCACTTCATAAAGTTGATACCTATTTATCACTTTGTGTTTCCAGTCTGGTCAGGACATTGCAACATGAATCACCTGATCGTCCGAAAAAGCAAGATGCTTCCGTGCTTCGGAGGGCACGAGGGCACGTCAAGCCGTCGGTTCCGGTTGCTGTCTATGATTACTTAGACGGCGGTGGTTACCCTACCATGTCAGATGCCTGCTACTTGCAGTAGGCGGTTGAATAACTCTGACACCTGCGTTTATCGAGTCCTTAGAAGGCTTGAGTGGGCACTCGAAGAAGAAGACTCAAAAATGAAGAAGAAGAGAAAATATTCTGTCGGAGATTTACCTCAGCGTGGCAGACAGGGCTGGCATGGTGGCGATGAATGTGAACAGCATCACCCCGAAGGTCAGCCCCACGAACACCCACAGGTACTGGCAGTCCGAGCTGCAGATGCTGTTTATGGCCTCGTACTGGATTGTAGTGTTAGTTCCTACGGAAAAACAAAATTATTTTGCTGGTTGGTGCACATAAAGGTAAGTAACCAGCGAATCCCTAAGAAGGTACTATAATTCGGCTTTTTGTTTTTGTACGGTTAGAGCTAAGACTAGAAATGGTGAAAAATTTCTACGATGTATTCATGCATACATAATCACGCCTATATCCTTTGCGAAGTAGGCAGACTGGCTGTAAAAACTGCCATTTACACCACGTCTGAGAAAAGTTTGAGAGTCATTTAGAGTACTGTGTATCACCAGAGGGGCAGATTGTCAGCCTGTCGCCTAAAATTTCAATACACATCAAATCTCAAATCGTCTTAAGTGTTACCAGCAGATCGTTGGGTCGAATTCAGCTCAATGTAGTGGCTTATTGACAGACATTCCTATCTATAGCTTTCCTATTTACCTTCTTCAGTCTTATAGGTGGGCAGAGTGAAGTTGCTCTGAATAACGCTGCAGTCATTGAACAACTGTGTTGATCCGGCTAAGGTCCTGCTAGTGCAACCCGCGTGACACGGAGAGAAGTACCTACACCACCCCATCATCTGGGCTGGAAAGACATCACCATCAGCCATGTACTGGTTTCTAGAGTTGAAGGCAGATACTAACCTTCTTCAGTCTTATAGGTGGGCAGAGTGAAGTTGCTCTGAATACAGCTGCAGTCGTTGAACAACTGTGCTGACCCAGCCAAGGTCCTGCTGGTGCAACCAACGTGGCATGGAGAAAAGTATACGACTCCATCATCACCACACATAAGGCGTTACCTTCCCAAGTTTGAGGAAAGACATCGCCATCACCCCTGTACTAGTTTCTAGAGTTGAAGGCAGATACTAACCTTCTTCAGTCTTATAGGTGGGCAGAGTGAAGTTGCTCTGAATACAGCTGCAGTCATTGAACAGTTGTGCTGATCCAGCCAATGTCCTGCTGGTGCAACCAGCGTGGCAAGGAGACAAGTAAACCACCCCATCTGCTCCACACATAAGGCGTTACCTTTCCAAATTTGAGGAAAGACATCACCATCAGCCATGTACTGGTTTCTAGAGTTAAAGGCAGATACTAACCTTCTTCAGTCTTATAGGTGGGCAGAGTGAAGTTGCTCTGAATACAGCTGCAGTCGTTGAACAGCTGAGCTGATCCGGCCAAAGTCCTGCTAGTGCAACCAGCGTGGCACGGAGAAAAGTACACGACCCCATCTGCTCCACACACTGGGGCGTATTCGGCATCAGTGCAAGCACAGTTCAGGTTGCAAGTGGCGAATAGACGTTCACCTCTGGAAAGAACATTTGTAATTAAAATGCGGGAACGTAAGTGATAGATGAGAGATGAGTAGCTATTGATTGACGTATTCAGAGGTTAGTAATGGATGCGCATGTTGGTTATTGACGTACCAATATTCACAAAAATGGCAATGAATGCAAATTTTGGCTATGAAAAAGTATGTTTTTGTTAAATTACATATTAGTCCACCTCCGAACCTCAACCTAGTTATTTTGGCTCAGATGAACTTAGTAAAACAAATCTTCGATGACCAACAAATTTTTTTCAGTAGTGTAGTGTAAAGTAGCAAAATATTAATTTCCCTTTCCCATAATATATTAGATTCTGTCGCTTAAAAAGCGACAACCGTTAAGATCTGTTAGTCGGTAGTTAGTTTCCAACGATCTGAGATGGTGATGATAGACGACTTATGACATCATGCTGATCTTTACCTAAAAACTGTATTCATCATCGGTTTGATCACCTCACTAATATTTCTGTAAAAAACAATTAACTTTAAAACAAGGAACGAAAAAATATCGCTTTAGAGACAAAAGTTATCTCTATCTGCTTACCCTGGTGCAGCAGGCGAGCTATAAGGAACGGTGACTCCAGCGAAGGGATAGTCATCGCATGTCAGCACGAAGCTGAATGTGAAGGCTACTCCGATGACGGTAGCTGCGACGCAGAGCTTGATGATGCCGGCGCAGGCGAGGTTCCATCGCTTCACCAACCAACCGCCGAGGAACGTGCCACCGCCACCGGCTGGGACTGTTATTACGCCTGGAACAAGATTCGGCACTGAATTCGGGCCTAGCTATACCTACTGAAACTTTTGCTTTGGTTTAGGATTAAGTTATGAAAGGGCATACCTACTACAGGCCCATGTTGGGCGCCATTTAAGGTATAATAAGTATACGAGAAATTAGAACAGGGATTTTACTTTTTTGTTTCACAATATTACAATGCCAGTTTCCAAGCAGTTTCCCAATCAACTACCTCTTTAAGCTAAGGTCCTGTAAGGGTCTAATAAGAACTTTTGTATTGAGTTCAGTATAGAGACATGTCAAACAATAAAATAGTGTTTACAAACCTAATAGTAAAGCCGCTTCAGACGCATTGACAGCGAACTGGTTCTCGATCAGCTTCGGCAGAAACGCGGCGAACCCTGAGATGAGCATTCCCTCGCTAGCTCCTGCCAGGTTCAGGAACAGGAACGTGGGGTTCTTCAGTAGGGCTGCAGCAGCTCGAGGCAGCTCCTTCAACGCGCTGAACGCTGCTGACTTGCTGGCCGTGTCGTGGGCCTCTGAGATCTTCGATGCGCGGATTTCTGCTGCACCTGAGAATAAGTGTTATAGAAGGGTTTTTGAAATATCGCCTGTCTAATAATATATCTCTATTTTGCTATAGATAGGTGTACATCTAATTAGCCGTGTGACGCCAGCTTAGAATAGCATCACCCCAATTCTACACGTGGATGTCGTAAAAAACGACTAAGGGATAATTATCCAGGGAATGGGTAGCAGCAATCCCTGTGAATTAAACATCTTGCACTGCGCTCGCCAATCCGCCTGCCAAGCGTGCGGGAAGTATAGCAAAACCCCCCAATAAGGGGGAGGCCCATGTCCAGCAGTGGACTGTTGTGGCTGTAAAGGTACATCTAATGAAACGTAGGTAACGATAAGGTGATACCTACTTCTCTATCGTGCTGTTTACCTGGCCCCAACAAAGGTAAGGCATGGGGTGGGTTTATTAATGTTTCAAGAGATTTCCATTCATAAATTACAGTCGAAAAGTAGAGTACCTATTGAAGGGTCTGCAAGCAAATGAAAAAAGCACTATCATCTTACCTGGTAACTCATGAGGGAACGCCAGTATGGGTATGGCGACGATCAAACTCAATATGAACGAGAATATGAAGCCCAGCCACCACGCGCCGATCCACACAGAGCTGACCGGTGTTATACCCAACCTGGGGAAGAAAGAAAGAAAATAAATATCTGTCTTGCTTCGTTAAGAAACGTATTCCTCTGTACCAGGCATGCCTATATCAGCCCTTAACGTTATAAAAAAATTATAGCTCTACATGCATTATTCGAAAAGACAAAAGAGGAAAATGTTTGTAAGGAAACTTCGAGACCACGCGCGCTCTTGAGTACCTACTTACCTAGGTACACTAAACCCCTAGTTTCCCTAAGGAAAGTCGAAGAATGAAAAGAATTGTACGAAATATAGGGTGAAGTTTTACTAGTGACCGATAGCGAAAACTCAACCGACTGGTGATAAAGAACAACTTTCCCCAAGGAACATAGGTCGAAATATATAAAAAGTAAAAGTGAACCTCCAATACTTATTTTTAAATTTTTCGTTCTATGTTCATTGGAAAATGTTTTTCCTTATCACACACCAGCCGGTTTTGAGGTTACGCTACCGGTCACTCGTAAAATTTTACCCAGTATGAGTTTAAACATTGAGAACAGTTAGCTTATCCCAAAAAATGTGCCTTCTGAATTTCTGTATTATCCGAATTCCGAATTCTGTAAGGTTGTTTGGATTAAATTGTTATTTTCTGTTACTTAATATTGTGTAAACACTCGAATCATGCTACACCTACCGTATGTTGTTGTTTATTTACACAACACAAGTAAACAAACACCCCAGCCAATCACTGCTAACAAAACATCGCTAACACTGCACTCGAACTGTATTACCATGAATCGCGAACCAATCAGGGAAACTATGGCGTAGATTCTTGTGAACGTTTAATAAGATTAGTCTTAGGGTGAAAACTCCATAAGAGTAGGTATAATAGTTCAGTTGCATTGCATAGTGTTTACCCAATTTACAATATCAAAGATACGATTAATTTCGCTTGCGTTATGCCCATGCTATTACGAGATTCCCAAACTTACCTATGCTTAGCGTTAGTGGCTAGGATAGGTACCTATACTTGCTTTATACGCTGGCTAGGATAGAACCGCGATAGCCCAGTTGGTAGTGGCGTCGGCAGTACAGATGGCGAAGGTTGCAGGTTCAAATCCTGCCTGCGGTGGAAAATTTTGCAAGTTTTCCAAAGATTGTATACCTAACAAGACAAGCGATTTAAAATTTGGTATTGAGGTTAAATTTTACCTATCTTATTACCTATCTGAAAGGTATTTACGCAGTACACTTTCGTATGATAGAATCGGCGCCAATGCTGAAGTTGAGTTGTTATTCTAATTCATTGCACGAAAGCTACTCTATTTTGATAAGACTCGGAGTA